TAGTCTGTACAGTCTTTGAAAAGTCAGAAAAACATTCAGCATAACAATTCCCAGTTATAGTAGTATAACATATCAATCATCTTGTTTAGAAGTGTTTCTATCAATGCAGAACATTTATTTACTGCATCAAAGGCATGAGGTGAATAAGAGGGCAGGTACTTGAAGTGGGAGATGGAGATGATGACCAGCAGGTTGAGGATGGTGGTGAGCAGAGAGATGAGGGGCAGCACGCTGTAATTCAGTAGGTCATCAGCCTTTGAGCGTATCGGCTTTCTACAGGAGGAGTTGATGTGTGGAAAGCAGAGCTCACGCTCCTCCATTGTTGGAGGAAGAGGCAGAAAAGAGAGGCAGCAGAGCTCAGGCAGCTCTGTGGCCACATCCCTCCATGGTCCAGCTCCTTTATCCCTTCCCTCCTTGTTTTCTGTTTGCTGTTTCCATGCAACAAATTCAGCCCCCCTTATCCTGATTTCCCTGATTACATCACTTGTTTTTGCCTCCATAACTCCACAAACACATACATTTTTTTTTCCTGCAGCATTTCAAGTCACAGTGTAGAATATTAAAATAAAAAATACATAATACCAAAAATAGTGAACAAAGCTACACCTATAACTTACCAGTGAGGAAGGCATCCTGATCAGACTCCTGATTCACCTGAACTCTATTCAGGTGAATAATCAGGTGAACTCGACGTAGAAGAACAGTCGCTCCACTCTGGGCGCATCCTGGATGACTGAGCTTGTCTCTCAAAATCGATTTTGGTTTTTTGTATCTGCGATCCCGTTCGTTTGGTCACAACCCAAAACTCTTGACCATAGAGAAGGAGCACCTGCATCACTGCCAACGCTACACTGAACCGCCTATCGACCTCCATTTTACCCCCATTCATGAATAAGACCCCAAGATAATTGAACTCCTCCACTTGGGGAAGGACATTCCACCATGAGGAAGCAATTTATAGCTTCATATCTATATAGTGCCTCAGATTTGGAGGCATTGATCTTCATCCACTCCACACACAAAATAGTATAAAAAAGTATAAAAGTATAGATTAAAGTATGAAAGTCCCTGCTACCCAATACTCCAGGAGCACCTCCCACAGGATACCCCAAG